AGCCCACCAAGGGGATTGGTCAGTTTTGCCATCTCGCTAGGCTTACTTAAAAGAGAGAGAATTCCAGAATAAACAGGGGATCTCACCACCACCAAGGAAGAATAGCCAGGAGCAGAGTATGTCCTTTGGACCTGGGATCCCTGTGCCGAGAAGCTCCTGGACCCAGGAGAGAAAGAGCTGTCACACTGAAGACAGCGAGAAGCGGTGGCAGAGAAATGGCAGTGCCAGGGGAGACTGGCAAGAGACAGCTCAGTGGGCTTCCCAGACCATGGACCGAGAAAGCTGAATGCTTTTGGGCAGGAGGCATGCTGATGGAGTAGGGTGTCTCTGGACACTTGGTGGAGCTAGGTTTGCCAACCCACGGAGCTAGAGCTGAGCACCTTTGGGCCGAGGCCTACTGGAGGAGTGGGGTGCCTTTGGGCACTTATCAGCAGAGCTAAAAGATCTTTCTGACACTTGCCCAAGCAGGGCAGAGGCTGAGGGCCAGAGAGGTGTGCCGGCAGGCACAGCTGAAAAGAAGCTGTCTTGATGGAAGAACTGTATCCTGAACATTCCTAAAACTGTTACTTCCGTAATAAACTCCATAATCATAAGTATTGTCTGTGAGTTCTATGTGGCCATTGTAATGAATTATTGAACCCAGAAGAGAAGCAGAGAGTGCCATGGGAGGGGCAGTTGGTGTCAGAATTGGTAAAGAGCAGAGAGAGGAGGCATGTCTGATCTCCACCTCATAGAAATCAGACTTGGGCTGTTGATTTTGATTCTCCTTCCCCTTGTGAAGTTAGAGAAGGTCAGACACTTTCCCCACACCATTTTTATAGCTTTTGAATACGTAATTCCAAGTGGCACTAGATAGCGGTTGTCCCAGTTTAGCACCATGAAGATATTCCCATTGTCTCCTTCAACTCCTCCTCAAAAGACACTCCAAATAAAAAATAAACACTTTATGGGAGCCCTGGTGGCACAGTGGTTAAGAGTTAAGCTGCTCACCAAGAGGTCAGCAGTTCAAATCCACCAGCCGCTCCTTGGAAACCCTATGGGGAACTTCTACTCTGTCCTATAGGGTTGCTATAAGTTAGAATAGACTCGACGGCAAAGGGTTTATTCAACATTGTACTGAAGTTCTAGCTGGAGCAATTAGTTAAGAAAAAGAAATAAAAGGCCTTCAAGAAGAAGTAAAACTAAAATTATCTCTATTCACAGATGACATGATTCTATATAGAGAAAACCCCAAAGAATCCAAAAAAAAAAAAAACTACTAGAGTTAATAGGTGAATTCAGTAAAGTTGCAAGGTATAAGATCAATGTACAAAAACCAGTTGTGTTTCTATACACCAGTAATGAACAATATAAAAAGGAAATTAGAAAACTATTCCATTTACAATAGCATCCAAAAGAATAAAATAACTAGGAATAAATTTAACCAAGGAGGTGAAAGACTTGCACACTGAAACTACAACATTATTGAAAGAAATTAAAGAGAACCTAAATAAAAGTAAAGACATCCCATGTTCATGGATTGGAAGACTTAATATTGTTCAGATGGAAACATTCCCAAAAGCAATCTATAGATTCAATGCAATCCCTATCAAAATTCCAACTGCCTTTTTTGTATAAATGGAAAAGCTGATCCTCAAATTCACATGGAATTGCAAGGGGCCCCAAATAAACAAAACAATCTTGAAAAAGAACAAAGTTGGAAAACTCACACTTCCTGATTTCAAAACTTACTTCAAAGCAACAGTAATCAAGACAGTCTGGTACTAGTATAAGAATAGACATGTAGACCAATGGAATATAACTGAGAGTCCAGAAATAAATCTAAGATTGTGACAGTGTCCACATCAGGCCCTTCTTGTGTAGCATCTGAGTTACATATCTGGCTACAGGGACAGTCCTTCCCTGAAAAGGCTGAGTAAGCGTTCAAGGTGCTCAAAGGCCAACGTAGGTATGTTCAAAGGAGCTGGGCAGTAAAGCAGGTAATATCCTTGACTGTCAAAGACATAGCAGGGCTCTGCCTTAGTCTGGTAGGGGCTGGAGAAGAGAACCCAGGAGAATTTTCTTACTTCTACTGAACTGTGCACAGCCATCTCAAGGCTCGACTGGAGAAGGATCCCTTCCAAGCTTACACACAAAGCTGTTGGCCGTTTAACTGAGGCCTCGGTTCCTCAGTAGTCACTGGCCAGAGCCACCCTCACTTCCTACCCAGGGGCTTCTGCATAGGGCACTCACAGCTTCTTCACCCGAGTGAGCAAGCAGGGAGAGCCAGAGCTTGCAAGTTACACAGCGGTCACAGTCTTTTGTGACCGAATCTCAGAGGTGGCATCCCATCACTTTTGCCATACTCTATCTGTTAAAAGCCATTAGTTAGGTTTAGCCTAGGAACCCTGGCGGCATAGTGGTTAAGCACTTGGCTGTTAATTCAAAGGCCTGGCGTTTGAACCCACCAGTTGCTCCTTGGGAGAAAGATATGGCTACTTCCATAAAGATTACAGCCTTGGAAACCCAGTAGGGGCAGTTCTACTCTGTCCTATAGGGTAGCTATGAGTTGGAATCAATTTGATGGCACACAAGAACAATCAGTTCAGCCCACTCTCCGGAGAGGATATCACATAAGAGCATAAATCCCATGGGAACCATTTCATAAGCTACCTGACAAACAGTGCTTCTAAAATGAAAAGTACACAGAAGTTACCTTTGTCCCTGAGAGCTGGGTAATTCTAAAGTAAAGGACAGCAGAGGAAGACTACCAGCTGCTGTGCCTCACTTGTCTCTTAAGGAAAGCAGTAAAGAAGACAGATTGGAAATCCCACTTTACGGTCTTGGCTTCTGAAGTTCAGGAATGGGGGGACTTCCAGGCTGATGTGTAAAGAGGGAGGCAGTCACCCTCCTGCCAGCCATGGAGGAGAGTTCCACTAGCTCCACATCCTCACCAGTGCTTGGTATCATCAGTCTTTGTAAATTTATTCATTGCTGTGGACTGTAGTCAACAGTGCATGGGTAAATATGTAATGACTGGCTCCCAGTTTGTGGCTTTTCCCCTTTTCCATGGTGTAAATACTTCCACCATGGCCGATTTCGAGCTGCCAACATGACCTCACTGAACCTGGATTTGGAAGCTCTGACTCCAGACAGGTGGTGTTCAAAACTCACAAGGGGCCATCAACTCACTCCACTGGAGATGTCTATGGGGTGAAATCTGGACTGAGAATGCAAGACTGGGTGCACTTAGCTGGGGGCCTGGAGCTGCTTTCTTGTGTACAGATGACGCACGGGGCACACCAGACAGCTCCAGAACAGCAGGAGGCTCCAGGCTGGCCACCAAATTGCCCCAAGTACCTCCATAGCCTCTTACATATTCCAGAAACAAACAAGGATGAGCAGCTGGTACCCCTCAGATGCTCCAGAGAGCCAGAGGGAGAGCCTCCAGAATAGAGAGAATGGAACATTCTCGAGTCTATAGAGCTCAGGGGAGGATATGGCTAAGTAGGAAGACCTAGTTTTTTCTCCCAGCCCTGCCGCAGCTTCTTTCTCTGAGTGCGTTCTTATTTCCTATGCTTTCCTGGGGCTGTGTGCTGAGTTGTTCCTTTGGATGGTGCTCTGAATAGCGATGATTCAGAAATGCTCAGGGTCAGCCTCATAGAAGGAGAGAAGTAGGTTAAGTGACCAGTCCTGTACTTCTTTATTTAGGTGCCTCTCCTTATAATATTCAGGCTTGTCTCAGAGTAGGTTGTGACTGGTTAGCCATGATTTCCCACAAAGCCAGCCAAGCAGGAAGCAGGAGGCCTACGTTAGGCCTGGGCAGGATCGGATAGGCAACTCTGAGGATGAGGCAAGCCCCCGGGGCCTCTCCCTTCCGGGGTGGCCTTCCTCTCTGACACTAGGGTTCTGTAGAAGCCTTGGCGCGAGGCGCCGCGCTGGGTTCCAGGCCCGGCGCTTTGGGGCGGCTCCCGGCAGACAGACTTCTCAGCCCCAGGCATGTGGATCCTCACGCCCAACCACCTCCTTCCGGGCGCATGCGGTTCCTCACGTCCAACCACCTCCGCCGGGGCTACACGCGCTCCCAGCCCACCCGAGCGGACGCCCCGGAGTCCGAACGCTTTTCCTCTGCCCCTCGCGGTTCCGCTGCTGTGCTCTGAAGGGGAGGGTCCTCGCGACCAGATCCCAGCCCCAGACCTCGTCGAGTCTCAGACCTAGGTTCCTGTCTGTCTGTAAGAGGCACCGACAGTCCGCCCTCAGCGTCATGGTGGGGAGGTGACGGGTAGACGTTCCTCGCATCGCAGGGCGGGTGCAAAGGCAATTTTTGAAACGACAGGCGTCCACACGGTTGCCGCTCCTCTGGGTGGTTTCTTTGGAACTGGGGACACTGTCAGGCCGAGGAGTGGACTTCTGTTTCCCCGAGACGGCGCCCACCCACCCTAACCCAACGAATTGCTTCCTCCTGACACTCAGCCAACTTCTGAATTCTGTCCGCGGGGCCCGGCCCAGACACTGTTCGAGGATGCATGAATGGAGGGGCGCAGGGATGCCCAGCCGGCGCTCACGGCCCTGCGCGCCCCCACCTCTCCGGTTCCCCATTCTCCTCCCCGGCCCGGCTCCCCAGGACGAGGGACGAGTCCCCGCAGGACCCTGCCTGGCCCCGCTCCCCTCGAGGAGGGAAGACCTGGCCGGACTCGGAGCTGACCGCGGGGCAAGGACTGCGCCCTCGACTCGGTCCTTCGCTCCAGGTGGCCGCCGGCTGAGAGCCGCGTCTACACGGCTCCGCGCCGGGACACCTGGAGGCAGGCCTACGTGAGCGCCTGGCCCTGATCATACCCCGGGCCAGACAAGCGGGCGGAAGCAGCGCCAAGTCCTCCCCTCCCAGACGCAGTCCTTCGGCGCCCGCCGGCAGCCAGCCAGGCTCTAGGACCCGGCAGCTCCCGCCCGCCTCCCTGGAGTGGGCGGGGCTTCAGATATTCTGACGTCATACGAGGCGGGGCTCCGCCGGCGCGCGGCGGCCTGACCAGCTGGGACAGACAGACCGACAAACGGACGGCGGCGGAGCCCGCGGGTGAGGGCGCCCGCGGTCGGGGGTCCTGGGAGCGCAGAGCACGGGCGGGGCGGGGCGGGGTACCTCCGGGGGGGCCCCCTCTCCCTGCCCCCGGCCTCCTGTCGGTCCGAGTTCGCGTGTCAGGGTGCGAGTTGCTCCCCCTGCGCGCCTTTCAGCCTTGGTGCTCCGATGTGGGGGCACAGGGCACTGGCCCCCACGCGCCCCGGCTTCCAGGCGCCCCTGCGCCCCGCGGCCGGCTCTGCCCGCGGCCCGTCCTGTGCTGGCTTCCTGGCGCGCTGGCCGAGCCTCTCCCCGAGCCGAACTCGAGTCCTCACGTCCTCACTTTGCTCCCTGCAGGCCCGGTGGCGGCGATCGCTCGACAACGCCGCAATGTGGAAATAACGAACCAACGTGCGCCCAGGGAGCGCCTCCGGGGGCTCGGCCAGGTGCGCGGCGCCTGCAGCGGCGCCCGGGTGCGGGATGGAGGCGCAGGGTTTGGACTGGCTTCTCGTCCCGCTGCAGCAGCTGGTGTCGTGGGGCGCGGCCGGCGCCATGGTCTTCGGCGGCGTGGTGCCCTATATTCCTCAGTACCAGGACATCCGCAGGACGCAGAACGCCGACGGTTTCTCCACTTATGTGTGTCTGGTGCTGCTGTTGGCCAACATCTTACGGATCCTCTTCTGGTGAGTGGGGCTGTCTTAACGCTGGTGTGTCCGGAGAGATGGCCCTCTCCACCGTGGATTCCAGACAGGACGGGTGGGGAGTGTCTACTTCCTGGGCACTTCTCAGGATGAGGTGTTTGTTGTTGTGTGCCGTCGAGTCGATTCCGACTCATGGCGACCCCATGTGACAGAGCTCCATAGGGTTACCTAGGTTATAATCTTTATGGGAGCAGATTACCAGGACTTTCTCCCGAGGAACTGCTGGGTGGATTTGAACCGCCAACCTTCCGATTAGCCGCCTAGCACTTATTGTTTCTGCCACCAGGGCTCTTTAAGGATGAGGTTATTCCCCCCAAAAATGATGGGGTTTGGGCAGGAATCTCAAGTTTAACTTCCAGTTCTGCATACTCATTTGTGGGCTCTTAGATATCAGCCACTTCCCAGGGCCTTCTCTGTGTGACATTGTCCTAGGACTGAGATGCTGAGGTCCCACAGATGAGGTCCCTGCCAGCAGGGAATTTCATTTCCAGTGAGAGGGGACAAGAAAACAAGGAAATGAACAAACCGATGAGAATAACAGAAAGTGAGGAAAATGCCACCGCCCTGCCAGAAGGCCTCTCTGGGGAGGGAGACCTCTGAGCTGAGACAGATGCCAGAAAGGTGCCTTAGATCCCAGCCCTTCCAGACCTGACTTTGTTCCAGTAGGGTCGTGTGGTCGTGTGTGTGTTTAATAGGAAGTCAACTTTCTGCATAATGCTTAAGCTAATACTAGTTTTTTTGCCTCCTCCTGGGCCAACTTCCTTTAATGATCATTTGCATTCTGCTAAGGAAATTGAAATTAATTATAACTGCTGCTGAAGCCAGACATAAATGAGGGGGGATTTTCAGCAGAAAATGAAAAGTAGTGTTATAGCTGCATTTCAAGGCCAAAACACCTGGAATTTTCCTTTCTTGTGGTCCTGAGGCAGGCGTGTGCCCCCGCTCTGTCAGCACAGATAAAGAGGAGCAATGTTGTTTTCCTCAAAGACCAGCCTGAGAGCAGGTGGAGCAGGGAGGTGACTCCAGACAGCTAGCATCCTGAGCTTTGCTGCTGCTTCTTTTTTTAAAAAAAATATTTGAATGTGTTTTTGGAGAAAATTTACATAGCAAATTAGGTTCTCATTTAACAATTTCTATACGTATTATTCAGTGACATTAGTTACACTTTTCACAATGTGTCAGCATTTTCATTATTTCCATCCTGATTGTTCTGTTTCCATTAATCTACCTTCCTGTCCCCCCTTATCTTCTCATCTTTGGTCTAGGGTAAATGTTGACTGTTAGGGCTCATTTAGATGATTATTTAGAGGAACACTGTACTCATGAGTGATATTATTTATTTTATGAGCCACTGTGTCTTTTGGCTGATAGGTGACCACTAGGAGTGGTTTGATTTCCAAATTTAAAGGGTATCCTGGGGCAATAGTCTTGGGGGTTCCTCTAGTCTCTACTGGTCCAGTACGTCTGACCTTTTTTTAGGAATTTAAGTTTTGTTCTGCATTTTTCTCCCATTCTGTCCGGGACCATGTATTGTGCCCCTGGTCTGAACAGTTGGTAGTGGTAGCTGGGCATCATCTAGTTCTTCTGGTCTCAAGGTAGGTGAGGCTGTGGTTCGTGTAGACTGGTAGTCCTGTAGAATAGTTTCTTCTTTGAGTCTTTGGTTTCCTTCTTTCTCTTTGCTCCAGACACGTAGAGACCAATAGTTGTATCTTAAATGGCTGCTTGCAAGCTTTTAAGACCCCAAACACTGCTCACCAATCTAGGATGTAGAACATTATCTTCATGATCTATGTTACGCCAATTGACCGAGTTGTCTCATGAGACTATAGTCCTAAATCCTCAAACCCAGTAAACCAATCCCATGAGGTATTTGGTTATGTCTAGGAAATATCCATAACTGTGCCCCTCCTGAGCTTTGCTTCTGTGCACCTTCTTTTTATTTTTTGGGTCACTTTTTGAGTAATCACATATCTGCTTTTTTTTTTTAACATTTTATTGTGGTAAAATACATATGACAAAAAATTTGCCATTTTCACACATACAGTTCAGTGACATTTATTACATTCACCATCTTATACAACCATCACCACTGTCCATTTTCAAAACTTTTTCATCACCCCAAACGGAAGCTCAGTACCTCTTAAGCATTACCCTTTATTCTCTATACCACGCCCAGCCCCTGGTAACCACTAGTAAACTTTAGTCTCTATGCATTTGTTTAGTCTAGATGTTTCATGTAAGTGGGATCATACAATATTTGCCCTTTTGTGTCTGACTTAGGTCCCTGAGTAGCACAAACGGCTGCTAATCGAGAGGTTGGCGGTTTGAACATACCCAGCAGTTCCATGGAAGAAAGGCCTGTGATCTGCTTCTGTAAAAGATTAGAGCCAAGAAAACCCTATGGAGCTTATTTTGTTGTTAGGTGCTACTGAGTCAGTTCCGACTCCTAGCTCACCTGTGTACAGTAGAACGAAACACTGTCTGGTCCTGGCCATCCTCATAATCGTTGCTATATTTGAGCCCATTGTTGCAGCCACTGTGTCAATCTATTTCATTGAAGGTCTTCCTCCTTTTTGCTGATCCTCTACCTTACTAAGCGTTATGTTCTTCTTCAGGGACTAGTCCCTCCTGATAACATGTCCAAAGTACGTGAGACAAAGTCTTGTCATCTTTGCTTCTAAGGAGCACTCTGGCTGTACGTCTTCCAAGACAGACTTGTTTGTTTTTCTGGCAGTCCATGGTGTGTTCAGTGTTCTTTGCTAACACCGTATTCAAAGGCATCAATTCTTCTTTGGTCTTCCTTATTCATTGTCCAGCTCTTGCATGTGTAGCAGGCGATTGAAAATATCATGGCTTGGGTCAGGTGCACCTTAGTCCTCAAAGTGACGTCTTTGCTTTTCAGCACTTTAAAGAGATCTTTTGCAGCACATTTGCCCAATGCAATGTATTGTCTCATTTTTTGACTGCTGCTTCCATGGGTGTTGATTGTGGATCCAAGTAAAATGAAATCCTTGACAACTTCAACCTTTCCTCTGTTTATCATGATATTGCTTGTTGGTCCAGTTGTGAGGATTTTTGTATTCTTTATGTAGAGGTGTAATCCATACTGAAGACTGTAGTCTTTGATCTTCATCAACAAGTGCTTCAAGTCCTTTTCACTTTCAACAAGCAAGGCTGTGTCATCTCTGTATCGAATATAGAGCTTAGTTCTAATCTCATGGGATCTCCAAGAGTTGGAATCCACTTGACAGCAACAGGTTTATTTTTTTTGGTGTCTGACTTATTTCACTCAGCATAATGTTTTCAAGGTTCATCCATGTTGTGGCATGTATGAGAACTTCATTTCTCTTTATAGCTGAATAATATTCCATTGTGTGGATGGACCACATTTTGTTTATCCATTCATCTGTTGGTGGACACATGGGTTGTTTCCACTTTTTACTAATTAATTTTAAAATCCACCATATTGAGGTATAATTTTCATTCAATAAAATGCCCTATTTTAATCGTAGAATTGATGAGTTTTGGCAAAAGTACTCAACGTTAACCACCACCACAATCAAGATGCAAGTTTCATGAGCCCAAAAGTTCTCCTGCCTCTCTGCCTTCAGTCCAGTCCTAGCCTAGGTGGCCACCAATCTACTTCAATACATGTTAGTTCTGCCCGTGTCTGGGATCTTAAAGGTGTTTCAACCCTAATCAAAGAGCCAGGGAGGTAATCGGATAATCCCAGAGCGCTTGACTCTGAGGCTTGGTGTTTTGTGCACCGCAGCTTCATTTGAGAACATTGTTAAGTCTCCTCCGAGGGTTTATCTCTGCACCAGGGCTACTTCTGAAGGGGAGGTCAGAGGGTGCTTATTTTTGTTTAGCAGAAGCTGAAAAACCACATTTTGAAAATTCCTTCCCTTGCTCCACCCATTTCCGCTTCTGGGAGGCCCAGCTGCCTGAGTGGCTGGTGCCTGAGAACTTCTGCTTCCTCTTCTAAAGTGGCCTTAATTAGGTCTATTGGAGAGGGGGACAAGGAGCGCCTGGCCTGGAACCTAGCCCACATTTTTAGGTTGTGAAGCGGCGCTGTGCTGTCTCTAGGGTTGTGAAATACATTTTCTCCAAAGCAGTGGGGAAGAATGGCCTCAGGTTGGATTACCACATGGGAAAAACAGTTCTGTTTAGAGGCCTCCTGCCAGTGTGTTTATCACTGAGAACTGCTAACTCTCTGGTTTGGGGAGGTCAGAGAGTTAAAACAAATTCTTATCTGCTGCCTCAGCAGTGCCTCTGGGTTTAGACAGTCACTGGCAGGTGCTATAGATGATGGCATTGGACCAGGGCTTCTTATCTTCCTCTCAGGGCCTGATGTCTAAGGAAGCATGCAGAGTATGCGGTAGCCTTACATGGAATTCTGGACTTTGTTTCCTGTGGGTGTGTTTCTGTCCCCCGTTGGTCTTCTTTCATAGAACCAGCATCCTAACAGTATTGCGTCCCTTCCAGCCAGCCTTCCCTAACACAGGACTCTCACTCCTCAGAGCTCCAGGACATATTTGGAAGTTTGCAGGATGAAGGAGGGAGAGCAGAGGGTGCTGGTCCCTCCTGGGTGTCTCTCTGGCTTGGGGATACATGCCCCATGCTTTATACACTATGCTGTTTGATGCTGGTGTGTAAGGCCAAGCACCATCTAGGACTCTTGTAGCCAGTGTATGTCCTCTGTCCCCACCCAGTCCAAGATCCTCTTGCTCTGAGGGTAATGCAGATGATTCCGTTTATTCCTGTCTCTGGAGCCCCTCTTGTGGCCCCCACTCCAGTATCCCCATCCAGTCTTCATGGGCTAGCAGCCTATTTGATCCAGTGAATTTTTTTTTCTTGACCCCTTGTATGTCAGAGCAGAACTGCTCCATAGGGTCTTCAAGGCTCCGATCCCCTGAAAACAGATCACCAGGCCTATCCTCTGAGGTGCCCCTGGGCGGGCTCAAACTGTGAACCTTCAGGCCAGCTGTTGAACGCCCAGCCATTTGCACCACCCAGGGACTCCTTAGGAGCCTGTGTATTGGCTTCTTGAGTGTGAAAAGTTATTACCTTTTATATTTAAAGTGCCAGTAAAACTTTGGTTACTATATTTAGTAATAGTTGTTATTTTGACCATTATTTTTGTTCAGTGAATCGAAGGTTATTCACAGTTGTGTAAAGTAATTATTGATCTGAAAAAATATAATATCAAATGGAAGTGAAGGACAGAATCATTTCCACCAAAGTAGTATTTAGGTTGGTCCAGTGAATTTTTTGAGAGTTTCCCATTTGCCAGACACTGGGCCAAATGCTGCAGGATTATGCTTTTATCAGAAGTGATGTGTGGAATATTCCTTCCATCCAGCCATCCATCTACCCACCTACCCCCTGTCTACCCACCTACCAGCCTATCTACCTGCTTATCCATCTGTCATCTTCCCATCCATTCACCCATAAAATCTACCCATCTACCCATCTACCCACCTACTTATCCATCCGCCCATCCACCCATCCTCCCACCCATCCATCCATCCGTCCACCCACCCACCCATCCATCCATCCATCCACCCAACTGTTCATCCACCCACATACAGATATCTATGGCAGAGGGGTTGTGGGTCATAGAAGATGGAGAGAGTAGAAGTTGGGTGGGGGCTGTGGCAGGTGTCCAGGTGAGAGGAGGAAGGTCTACACTGGGGCAGTGGTGGTGGGAGACACGGTGGAGTTAGACTCTTGAGCAGCATTTCCCAAAGCTGGTCCGGGACCTTAGCCCACAGAGCTCTGATCTATTTGGGGTGCGTCCGCATTCTGTTCCTTTCTGGGAGATTAGCCGTGCACAGTATCTGAGAGGCTCTGAGTCCCAAGTTAACTTTGTTTAACCTAGGGTTTCTGAAATGTATGTAACTCTAATACTCTTACTCTTTATTTCTTAAAGTCCTTCTTGTCATTTTGCAAAACTAGCATTCAGCAGATTATACTCTGTACAGTGGTGATGTACAGGATTGGCCTTTTGGCATCAGAAGATGGGAGAAGGGCTCAGTGATGCCTTGTGGCTAAAACATGTAGGCTTTTGGTTAAGTAGAGGAGGTGGGGATAAAAGGGTCCAGAGTGCTGAGTAAGAGACAATGGTGCTGCTGGGCTTCTAACCCAGATCCACATGCGTTCACGGGAATCTGGACCAAGCCTACACATTCATACACAGGATGTGAGATGTCCAGCTTCCTGGCATAAACTTAAGAATTAAAACACAGTAGCAGCAATTAGTAACATTTTGCTACTAAGGCTGATAAGCAATGAGTGTTGCTGGGCAGTGGATATACACTTCTCCTTGGCTTGAGTTCTCATCACTACTTTGGAGACATGAGGAAGTGCTCCTTTAGGAACTTCTGCTGGGACCTGGCTGAACAGTGCAGGTGTGTGTACCTTCCTGTGGCCCAGCACTTACCTGCAATAGCAATGCCAACACGGCTCTGGAAGGGGCCGCTTTATGGTGTACGAGGACAAGGCTCCCACACCCTACAGTCCTATGCCCAGGCTGGTGTGATTAAAGGGAAAGAAATGAAATCACCTGGTAAGTAAATAGGATGTCTTCCTATTCTAATGGAGCTCTGGTGGTGCAGTGGTTAAGACCTAAGGCTGCTAACCAAAAGGTCAGCAGTTCGAATCTACCAGCCGCTCCTTGGAAACCCTATGGGGGTAGTTCTACTCTGTTCTATAGGATCGCTATGAGTTGGAATTGACTCAACAGCATTGAGTTTGGTTTGGTTTCTATTCTAATTAGATTTTCAAGATTACTCATGATGTTGAACTTTGTTTCGTATTTATTTTGTCAGTTGTGTATCTTTTATGGAAACCTGTGCCCTTTGACATCTTGAACTTTCCTGTCTTCATCCTGAAGTCAGTGAACGATTCACCTATGCTTCCCATGCACGTAGTTTTAAATGGCTCACAATTTATTGTAAACTTTGGATTCATCTGGGTTTGACTTTTGGCTTGTGGTGTCAGGGGAAGCTCAAACCTTGATATTTTCTCCCCTAGTTATTCCAGTCACTCATTGCTTCTATTGAAAATTAAAAAAAAAAAAAAAGGATGTGGTCTTCTGTGCAAAATGACCCAAATTGCACACGGTTAGCCTTGTGACCAGAAGTTAAGTGGGAAGAGTCCCTGCTGGGTTCTTGTAGACTGGCTCGCTTTTATCTTGAAGCTCCTGCTTGGGAGGCTGCACCCCAGCCTCCTCACCATCCCCTCATCTGACCTCCACCTGTGGAAGCACTCACTAATTCCCCCCCTGGCCAATAGGTAGCTGGTGGGGCCATTTCCAGGAATGACTATGTACTGTGCTGGGCATGAGGGTGCCTGGGTCCTCTGATGCGTGTCTCTTTACCTCTCCAGGTTCGGAAGGCACTTTGAGTCCCCTCTTCTGTGGCAGAGCATAATCATGATCTTGACCATGTTGCTGATGTTGAGACTCTGCACCGAAGTCCGCGTGACCAACGAGCTGAACCTCAAACGCCGCTCATTTGCAGGTTGGTGAATGAGGGTTATCGCTCTGGAAGTAAAGCAGGTGCCGCTTCTGTCCACCTGGTGAGATAGCAGGCTCATTGATCTAATGTTATCTAAAAGTGGGTTTAATTTCACCCAACGGCACTGTTATCTGTAACCGATAAGAAGATTTTTTGGTAGGTTAAATTACTTTAATTACAAATTTTATAATGCAAACCAATCCCAAGATAATATAGTTTCTTTACTGGAATTTGGGTAAGTTACTAACTAATCTTAATGTATTATTCTTTGCTAATAATTACTGTTGCATGCAAATTCTAAATTATGATAGGAAGTGTGTTTCTTTTCTGTCCATGTTTCAGCTTGATCAGGCCAGCGAAAGAGACGGCCTGAGAGCACGGTTTTATCTCTAACTTTGTGTATGGCTTATACATACAATACATTCTCTAAGTTTTGTTCTTGTACCCACAAGGCTGAGCAAACTGGGGTCTTTCTCACATACTTTGTTAAATATACATCCGAAGTTATGCTTCCTTGGGTCAAGGTTACCACACTTCCTAGAATATGTCTCTGTGCTGCTATGGTTAGAGCTGGCCAGGACTAGTTAGGGCTTAGCCCACACCACTCCCTAACTTTCTGATTGAAGCTGCTTCCAGCCTGACGTTCTGTGTTTGAACCAGGAGGCCAGAGGGCTGCTTCTATGCAGGAGATCAGTGCTTTACTTTTGTTTCCCTTCTGGTGACTAAGTCTAAGACAGCTCTCGTTTTGACTTTGTCTGAGATTTTGGGTGTGTGTATGTTTTAATCTCACCTGTTGTGTAGAGAAATATTTTTCCCCAGAGCTTGTTTCATTTTGGGGCCCCCGTAGGTTTCCCATCTTGCTGGGGAGTTGGTGCCCCTATGTTTTCATTCCCTATCATGATTTTCTCTCCCTCTGAGAGGATCCTTTCCCCTTTTGCATGCTTCTGTTTTTAGAGTGAGATGAATATACGCCATTTCAGTCTTAGTAGAAAATAGGTCAGCTTCTAGCTCTGGTGAGTATCCGGGACCAATTAAAGATTTGTTTAGTGTCATTTAAAGCTATAAAGATGACCACTAATCTGTTTTCTAAGCTGTTTTTGTTCTGTCTCCCCTATTCATGCCATTTCTTTTCTCCTCTATGTATCTTTTTTTGGTCCCTCTCTGTTATGATTTGGGTTTGAAATGACAGTAAAGGTGGTACTTATTATACTACTAATCTTGCCTGGGAAACAAGATTTTTAAACCCATCAGGCTACCACTAGGTAAGGACTTGTGCTCTTAAATTTCTCTTAAATGGCTTGGGCTGTCATTTGCACGGCTTCTGCCCTCCTCCCTGTGACTTATGTGCTTTACATGCCCCCTCCCCTTTGCATAAACCCTCAGCCTTTAGCTTGGACATGGTCTCTTAACTGACCAACACAGTGTGGGGAGTTTAGCCTTTAGAACACGAATCACCCCGTGGGAAGGAGGATAAAGCTAAGACGACAATTTGTTCACATGATAGCAGAGAACTTGCCCTCAGGCTCTGAGATGAAAGACCAGGTTTTGAGACCCTATCTGAAATAGTAAGCAGGCTGAGGTCAGATGCCAGATGTAGCAGGTTTGTGAACCTCTAGGGACGCCTTAACTTAGAAGTGAAACTTACACGGCATTGTTGAAATGCAGGAATACCTTCAAGAACCCAAATCTATATGGTCCCCTTTATTTGGATTTTTGCCAACTGGTTCCTCAAGTTGGCCTAGGGAAGGGTGACGGTAGTGGGTGCTTTCTGTGTACACAGAAACTCCTTTTGTCTGGTTGCTGCTCATCAAAAGGGAAGTTTTAGATTAAAAAAAGTTGACTGTGATAGTTGATAGCTATCTATTCTCTCTTTACTTTCAGTATTCTACATAAATTCCTCCAAAAGGAGTTAAGGAGGATTTAGTTAAAATGTTGTTGTTGTTGTTAGGTGCCATTGAGTCAGTATACCCTATGTACAACAGAATGGAACACTGCCTGGTCCTGTGCCATCCTCACAATTGTTATGTTTGAGCCCATTGTTGCAGCCACTGTGTCAGTCCATCTCATTGAAGGTCTTCCTCTTTTTCGCTGCCCCTCTACCTTACCAAGCATGATGTCCTTCTCCAGGGACTGGTCCCTCCTGATAACATGTCCAAAGTATGTGAGAAGAAGTCTCACCATCTTTGCTTCCAAGGAGTACTCTGGCTGTGGTTCTTCCAAGACAGACTTGTTCATTATTCTGGCAGTCCATGGTACATTCAGTATTCTTCACCAACATCATATTCAAAGGCATCAGTTCTTCTTCAGTCTTCCTTATTCATTGTCCAGCTTTCTCATGCATAGGAGGTGGTTGAAAATATCATGGCTTGGGTCAGGTGCACCTTAGTCCTCAAAGTGACATCTTTGCTTTTCAACACTTTAAAGAGATCTTTTGCAGCAGATTTGCCCAATGCAGTATGTTGTTTGATTTTTTGACTGCTGCTTCCATGGGTGTTGATTGTGGATCCAAGTAAAATGAAATCCTTGACAGCTTCAATAGTGAATCTCAATTCCCAAGAAATGGCTGGAATTTGTATTTTTACAGAATAATAGCCCCCAAGGGCATCCAAGTCCTAGCCCCCAGGATCATGAATGGTACCTGATGTGGCAGGAGGAGTCTGCAGGTGGGACTCAAATTACAGACTTTGGGATGCAGCGATTGTCCTGGGGTATCCAGTGGCTTGATCTCTTCACAAGGTCCCTTAAAGGGGAAGGAGAGGTGGAAGGTCACAGAGATGACATGAGAGGGACTTGCCCAGCTGTAGCCGGTGTTGAAGATGGAAGAAGGGGCCATGAGCTGAGGAATGCAGGGACCTCTGGGTGCTGGGACACCCTCATCATGCTCCCCTCAAGAACCCAGACCTTGGTCCTACAACCACAGGAACTGGATTCTGCCCACACCCAAGTGAGCAGGAAATGAGTTCTCTCCTAGAGCCTGCAGAAAGGACACAGCCCTGCCGACACCTCAATTTTAGTCCTGTGAGATCCATGTTGGACTTCTGACCTCCAGAACTGTAAGAGAATAAATTTTTGGTGCTTTAAGCCACTAAGCTTGTGGAAATTTGCAGCAGTAGGAAACTCATCTACCTACCCCTTTTCCTTAAGGTCTTGAAGTTTATTGAGCACTTCTCTCATTAGGCACTAATGGTTTGTCTCTGTTGGTGATGCTGACAGTTGACATAATGGTTCTGGGATTCCTGAGGCATTTAGGCCAGTCAGCAGGAAGCAGTGCGGAAGTTGCGATGTGCTTGACTCATATGCTTCTGGGTTTTTTTTGCAGCTTTGCTGAAGTTGCAACCTGTAGTGGCTGAATAGTGTCCCCCTGTAAAAATGGTGTGGTGGAGGCATCTAACCTCCTTGTCGAACTTCACAAAGTGGGAGGAGAATAGTTATCAGCATCAACAGCCCAAGGCTGGTTTCCTATGAGGCAGAGATCAGACATGTCTTCTCCCCAACCTTTTTACCAATTTTGACACCAGCCGTCCTTCCCATGGCACTCTCTACTTCTCTGCTGGGTTTGATGACTCATTGCAATGGCCACACAGAACTCACAGACCATACTCACAGTTATGGGGTTTATTGGGGAAGTAACATGTTATAATTCAGGTTAAGGAATGTTCAGGATACAGTTCTTCGATCAGGACAGCCTCTTCTCAGCCGTGCCCGTAGGCAGGCCTCTCTCTGGCTCTTGGCCCCTTGGCCCAGCCTCTGCCCTGCTCGGGCAAGCGTTACAAAGCTCTTTAGCTCCAAAAATAAGTGCCTGGAGGCACCCTACTCCACCAGTAAGCCTCTTGCCTGAAGACACTCAGCTTTTTTGCTCCGTGGGCTGGGAAGCTTACTGCACCATCTCCTGCTGGTCTCCTGGTCCTACTGCCTCTGCTTCTCACTGTCTTGCTGTCTTCTGTGTTACAGTTCTCTCTGTCTGTCTCCTGGGCTTAGGAGGGCCTTGGTGTAGGGATCCTGGGTCCAAAGGAAGCGCTCTGCTCCCATCTCTTCTTCTTGGTGGTAGGTTCCCTCTGCTTTGGGACTGGCTCTCTTTTAAGCCTAGTGGGATGGCGAAACTGACCAATCCCCTTGTTAGGGTTCAATATACTTCATTTGCATGGTCCCCCCCCACAAGGGTACCATACACCTTATTTACATTTTAGAAAGCTATCCAATCACCTTGGTGGGCCACAAGTACCTCATTTGCATAGTCTTCACCCAGTCATTTGGTGGGGCTTACAAAGACCATTGGTAGAAGGGCCATATTAAGTAATTCACTGCACTGCACCTCCAAAAAAATACATATCCACCCAGAACCTTGGAATGTGACGTTATTTGGAAGTAGGTCTTTGCAGATGGGATTAGTTAGGGATCTTGAGATGAGATTGTCCTGGGTTTAGGTTGATCCCTAAATGCAATGACTGCTGTCCTTATAAGAAGAGGAGAAGATACAGAGGCACAGAAGGAAGGTGGCCGATGGAGGCAGAGATTAGAGAGATGCTGCCACAAGCCAAGGAATGCCTGGAGCCACCAGAACCTGGAAGAGGCAAGGAAGTATTCTCCTCTAGAGCATCCAGAGGGAGTGCAGCCCTGCCCACACCTTGATTCTGAACTTCTGGCCTCCAGGACTATGAGAAAGTAAATTTATGTTGTTTTAAGCCCCTTAGTTTGTCGTCATTTGTTATGGTGGCCCAGGCCACCTGTACACAGCCTCACAGATGACATCTATGACCCCGCAGGATCAGAACCAGCACACGGAGGGGGCCTGGTGCTGCTGTCCCCAGGCCTGCCAAGCCTGGGCTTCTGTGTGTGTGGTTCTTTGTTAATGGAGGACTGTGCCTCCCACAGGCTCTCCAACTTTGGGACGCCTGCTGGGCCTCACTGTAACTGCAGATGGAAAGCCTGTGGGGACACAGTATGTGTTGTGAAAATCCCTAAGAGTCTCACACTCAGCACTTTCAATATTTGAATCAAAGTCAGATTGACCATTCTTGTGTCTGCCATGCGTAAGGCCCCAGCATATTCCTGAGGGAGCTTTAATGAAATGTGTGGATTATTTCCTGTCATCTGCCTGATGGGGAGGGGTGGGGCTGAAACTAAGCAATTCAGGCTGAAAATTTGTTTCGTTTTATTTATTTTTCCTTTCTAAAAATTTAACTTTGTTTCATAATTTGTTTTTCATTTCTCTTAGGGATTATTAGAGAAACAGAATTGTCTGTGGCCCAGAGTCAGGGGGTTGAATTTATTTTATATTTTCTCCAAACCTCAGCCACAGCGCTCCAGAATGGAACTGGCCTAGCCAGTCTGCAGATACAGTTTTGGGGAAGGGGAGGGCAGCAAGACGGACAGTCCAACTATTGCTGGCTGGGGTCTTATTATTATTTTTTAAACAACATGTTTCTTTCCTGCCTGTTCAACCCAAGGCTTAACTAGTGGGGGAAGAAAAGAGATTTAACTTGATGTTACTGTAACTCTTTGGGGATGGGCGGAGGCTCTAAGCATGGGAAGGAAAGCCAGAGCTGAGGTGTAACATGGTTCATTTTGCCTCACTTTTCCCAAGGAGTGCAGCCAAGGCTTAACATGTGGATCTCGCCCCTCATAGCAGCACCTACTCCACACGCTGAGTCAGTGCTGAACAGTGACTTGTGAGGCAGCCTCGGGGAGGCAGGTGTCCTCCACACCGCTGTGTTCTTCAGTCAGTCCCTTCCTGCCCTGATAGAGCCTCTCCTGCCCCCTCACTTCTTAAAAGAAACACACACACACACACACACACACGCATGCACACACACATACACATGTGCACATGCATACATACTTACATATTTTAAAATGCACATTCTATTTGAACACATGCAAATAATGCAGAAGGAAATATACTCTGGTGCTCCCCCTTCCGCTCTCTTCCCTAGATCTGTTAACAGTTTGGTGTGTATTTTCCAAGAGTTTTTGTTTCTTTTCTTTTTAACTTAATTTTAATTTTGTTCTGGTAAAAAAATATATATATAACAAAAATTTGCCATCTTAACCATTTTTAAGTGTACAATTCAGAGGCATTGTGAATATGCTAAAAACCACTTTAAAAGGGTGAATGTTTTGGTATGTAAACGATATTTCAGTAAAGATTAAAAAATCTTTTAAAATACCTTTCTGAGAAGAAAAGCTGAGGACCCTCCCCTGGGCAGTGTTTGCACACAAATGTTTTTAATGCATTTTCTAGGGGTTTGCTGACACCCTTGAACATCAGGCGTCATAGATTCCTGTACAGTCCTGCCCACTGCCTAGCTCTGACATAGGCCCATCCCAGATTTGCCTGTACCACTGTGATCATACTCTCTTCACTGTCCCCTGGTCTCCAGTTTGTCCTGTATCTCACCTGTGGCATCCTCCCCCTCCACTACCAGTATACCCTTACCCGAACGCAGACTGAGCTCTAATGCATCCTTCCTCACCTGCCTGCAGCAATGGGTCTCAGATATCATGTGACCAATTCCTTTGGGAAGCAGATGGGATCTGGCCTCTTGTCGTCTGACCAGCCTTCTCTCCTGCTGGTCTGTCTCCTGTTCTGTGACCAGCCAGAACTTCTGACTCTCCTGGGTGTTAGCTCAGGTGAACCTTCTGCCAAATCATCTTTTATTCTAGTAACTATGGCTGCTTGAAAAGCTACCCCCAAACTGAGTGACTTAAATGAACAACATTTATTTTGGTCACGAATCTGCAGTTCGGGCCAAGTGTGGCAGGGATAGCTCATCTGTGTTCCATTTGATGTCAGCTGCATCAGCTCAGAGACTGGGGGCTGGAGTCACCTGAAGCTCACTCACTCAGACGTCTGATGGCTGATGCTGGCTGTCACTGGGACCTGGGCCAGGGCTGTCTTCATGTGGCCTGGGCTTCCTCACAACATGGAAGCTGGGTTCCAAGGGCAAGTACCCGGAGTGAGAGCCCTGTGGAAGCTAGTCTTGGAAATCACACAGCACACAAGTCTACCCATAGTCAGGGAGGAGGATGTGGATGCCACCTCCTGAAGGGGAATGGCAAGGTTCTGGAAGGTAGTGTGGAATAGAAATGTTATTGTGGCCATCTTTGGAAAATACAACCTGCTACATCTATGACTCCCTGGTGCCTGGTGGAGTATATGTTCAGTCCAGATTTGCAGAAGTGCATGATTGTTGAGAACATTCCAAACTGGCTTCTCAGCTACAGGTGGCTCCCTCCTCCAGTCCATCCTACACCAAGATGCTTTTCTAAAACATAAATCTGACCATACTACTTCCAGCCAAGAAACCTTGGGTGGCTTGATGCCATACCAGACAAGAGTCTGGTGTGGGTTACAAGGCCATTGCAGTCTGAGTCATCTCCTTATCCAGTCTCTGCCTTGCTTCTTCCACCTTTATAGATGTCTAGTTAACCCACAGATAGGTCCCCCACCCTTCTTGCCTTTGCTTTCCCCATGGTCCTGGAAGCCAACCACATAGACCCTAGAGCTCTGCCATTCAGTGTCAGCATGGTCAGCCCTGGAAGATGAAGAGGGAAACAGCTGACTTGTGCCATGTGCTGCTCTCTCCTGTGTTCTTCATTAATTCATCTCCCCCCCACCATGCTCATGCACTTTCCTTTGGGACAATGATCTGTAGAGGAGGTACCCGATGACTGGTGAAATTGGTCAGAGGCAAAGAAGTAAAGCTGAAAACTTAGGAAGTCCAACAGACAGGTGGTCAGCGCCATGACATAGGAGGTGGTGCAGGACAGGGGCAGGCTGAGAACTGCAGTTTGTGTCCTCTATGCTGTCTGCTCATAAAAGCCTCCACTTTCCTGGAAATGTCACACTTCCCACTGACAGCATGCCCTCTAGATATCCAGGCATGAACTTAGTCTAGTGTTTGTTTTTAACTGTTTGTTTGCAAAGTTTCCATTTAAGGTCGATTCTGCACTGCCTGGGGCAGATGACACACAACCTTTGACTCCACACCTGCTTTTGGAGCCCCCTGATTTGAATCTCACTCTTCCCTTTTAATGACCTTCCATCCTCTCCAGGCACTTGGCTTGTGTCTTTAGGGCCTTTGGGCGGCTGCTGAGGGGCAGCGTGGTGCAGTGAGGTTCTGGTGGGGAGGAGCAGGCGCTCCAGGTTGAAGTCAAGCATGTTCTTCCAGGTGCTTCTGGGCCGGCCAGTTGTACTCAGGTCTGGAGGTGTGTGGGTCACTCGGGGCCAGGGTGAGCCTGGTTCAGGCCATGTGGCTGCCAGGGTCACGTGCATTTGCTCTCCACTTCCGTGGGCACTTCCTCTTCTCATGTGCTCTGAAAACAGCGTTATGAACAATCTTCTGAATAGGTCTTATTTGGCCCTGGGCAGATGTACAGCAACTAAAACTTCTAGAGAGTAAAAAAGAGAGGGAAGCACATGAACAAGTTTCTGGGGCAAATAGAAGTGGAATCTGTAGTGTCACTTGTCCACAGCATAGCAAACAGGCAGTGGGCTTTTTGCCACCTGTGACCATAGAAATTAAATGAAAATGTGGCGACTTTTAACTTTTGGCCCAAAATTTCCTCCTCCTGCCCCCATGCACTTTTTTATAATATTGGAAGAAGGTAGCTTTGGAGAAAAATAGTTCAGAAAGTGAATTTTCCAGTGCACAGAAACAAAAATCTTGTGGTCTTTTTATTTCAAGGGTTTTTTTTTTTCCCAAAGAAATTAAAAACGTCTGGGAAACACATCTGCTTACCAGTGTTAAAACCAGTCTATTTTGTCTTTTCTCCTCTTCCTTTCTGTTTTTCTCTCTTTTTTAATGTACCTACAGATAGTAAGGATGAAGAAATCAGAGTCCCCCTCAGGCGGTCCTATCTGGGTATGTACCACACTGCACGAGGCTGCTTTTCAGAACATGGCTCATTTCATCCTCTGTGGCTCTGCTCCTTCTCCTGCCTCACTCCCCATCATGCCTGCCCTGTGACCATGCATGTGTGTGTTTGAAGCCTGGCGATATGCACAGTGACTAACAGCTCATAGACCCACCCTTTTCCAGCATGACATAGTTCTAGAAGCCTGCTCCTTTTCCTCGTGCGTGCGTGTGTGTGTGTGTGTGTGTGTGTGTGTGTGTGTATAAGAATAGTTTTCAGAGTATAAGTTTCACACTTCTTTTGAATGTATTCCAAAGTAATTTATTCTTTTCGATGCTATGGTAAATGGAATTGTTTTCTTAATTTCATTTTGGATTGTCCATTGCTGCTTTGTAGAAATAAATTGGTTTTTGAATATTGATCTTGTGCAGCCTTGCTGAACTTGTTTATTCTGATAGCTTTTTAGTGGATTGCTTAGGATTTTCTTTTACAGGATGATGTCATCTGCAAATAGAGATAGTTTTACTTCTTTTCCAATCTGGATACTTTTTTATTTCTTCTTGCTTAGTTACCCTGGCCAGAACTTATAGTGAAATATTGAATAGAAGTGGTGAGAATGGACATCCTTGTCTTGTTTGTGATCTCAGGAGGAATGCATTCAGTCTTTCTTGATTAACTATGATGTTAGCTGTGGATTTTCAATAGATGCGCTTTATTAGGTTAAGTAAGTTCCCTTCTCTTCTGAGTTTGTTGAGGGTTTTTATCAAGAAAGCTTATGGAATTTTGTGAAATGCTTTTCTGTGTCTGTTGAGATATCATGTAGTTTTTGTCCTTTATTTTATTATTATGGTTTATTACACTCGTTGATTTTCATTTATTGCGACTTTGCATTCTTGGGATTAAAGCCCACTTGGTCATGGTGTGTAATCCTTTTTATATGTTGCTGGATTCTGTTTGCTAGTATTTTGTTGAGGATTTTTGTGACTATAGTCATAAGAGATATTGGTCTGTAGTTGTCTGTTTTTGTAATGTCTTTGTTTGGATTTGGTATCAGGAGAATACTGGCCTTATAAAATGCATTGGGAAGTGTTCCTTTCTCTTTTATATTTTGAAAGAGTTTGGTAGAATTCACTGGTCTTTTCTTTGTGATAAATTTTCTTCATTAATTCAATATTTTTATAGGTCCATTCAGACTTTCTATTTCTTCTTGAGTCAGTTTTGGTGTTTGTCCTTCTAGGAATTTGTCTTTTTCATCTAAGTTATCTAATTTGTTGGCATATAATTGATTATAGAATTCTCTTATAATCGTTTTTATTTTTTGTAAGATTGGTAGTAATGTCCCCTCTTTCATTCTTGATTTTAGTAATTCGAGTCTTCTCTCTTTTATTAGTTGACCTTTTTCTTTATTAGCCTAGCTAAATTTTTGTCAATTTTGTCAATTGATTTGGTTGATTTTCTGTATTGTTTTTCTATTCTCCATTTTATTTCTTTCCACTCTCATATTTATTATTTCTTCCCTCCTGTTGCTTTGGGTTTAGTTTGCTGCTCTTTTTCTAGTTTATTGAGGTAGAAGATTAGGTTAATGATTGGAGATATTTTTAATTTCTTTTTTTAAGTATAGGTGTTTACAGCTATAATTTCCCCTCTAAGCACTGCTTTAGCTGCATCTTGTAAGTTTTGGTAAGTTGTGTTTTTATTGTCATTCATTTCAAAGTATTTTCTACTTTCCCTTGAGATTTCTTCTTTGAGTCATTTGTTATTTAGGAATGTGTCATTTAATTTCCATATGTTAGTGAATTTGCAAAATTTCCTTCTGTTATTGATTTCTAAGTCTTACATTGTTATTATATATGTCTATATATGTTATAGACCCAACAACACATTGTTATCATCATTACTTTTTATAATTTTATAGCTTTTAAAGAAGTTGAGAGAAGAAAGGAGAACAATTGTATATTTGTAAAGTTTGTTATATTAACCTTCTTATTTACCATTTCTGGTTCTGTTCATTTCTTTCTGTGAATTTGAGTTACTATCTGATGTCATTTCCTTACTGTCATTTTCAAATACATTACATTTTTATATGTTAAAGGCCTGACAATAATGTAACCATAATATTGTTTTATTCAGTTGTTTTTTAAATCAGTTAAGAGAAGAAAGGAGAAGAAATATGAACTTATACTGTCTTTTATACTTACCTACATAATTACCTTTATCTATGCTCCTTGTATTTTCTTGTGGATTAGAATAACTGTTTGGTGTTACTTGCTTTCATCATGAAGAACTTACTTTATTATTTCCTATAAGGTGGGTCTGCAAGCAACAAATCCTCCCAGTTCTTGTTTTATCTGGGAATATCTTCATTTTACCTTCATTTTAAAAAGAGTTTTGCTGGATGTAAGAATCTTGGTTGACAGTTTTTTTTTCTTTTCAGCACTTTGAAACTGTTACCCCACTGCCTTCTGGACTCCATTATTTCTGATGAGAAGTCAGCTGTTAATCTTATTGGGGTTTCCTTGTAAGTGACAAGTCATTTTTCCCTTGCTGATTTCAAGATTTTGTCTTTTTTTTTTTTTGTCTTTCAACATTTTGACTATGAGAGTGTAGCTCTCGTTTTATCCTACTTGGAGTTTGTTGAGCTTCTTGGATGTGTAGATTAGTATTTTAATCAAATCCAGGAAGCTTTCTGTCATTATTTCTTTGAATATCTTTTTTACTCCTTTCTCTCTCTTCTCTCCTTAGGTACTCTAATTTCACATATGTTGTTGCATTTAATATTGTCTCACATTTCTCTGAGGCTCTGTATATTTTTCTTAATTCTACTTTCTTTTTTCTTCAGATAGCATAATCTCTACTGACCTATCTTTAGGTTTGCTAATTCTTTCTTCTGTCAACTCAACTCTGTTGTTGAGGCCCTCTAATGAGTATTTTATGTCCCTAATTGTACTTTTCAGCTCCAGAATTTCCATTTAGTTCTTTTTAGAAATTTATATCTCTTTATTGATATTCTCTAGTTGATGAGACAGTGTCATCTTACCTTCTTTTAACTCTTTATACATGGTTTCCTTCAGTTCTTTGAGCATATATATAATAGCTATTTTGAAATCTTTCTTTAATAAATTCAGTGTCTCTACCCTCTCAAAGTCAATTTTTGTTTTCTGCTTGTCTTTTTTTCTTTCTGTGTATGGGCCACACTTTCCTGTTTCTTTGTATGTCTTCTAATTTTTTGTTGAAAACTGAACACTTTAGTGATATATTGTAGCAACTCTGTATATTGACCTCCCACCTCAGGGGGTGGGTAGCTTGTTGTTTGCTTATTTATTTGTTTAGTGATTTAGCTGGACTAGTTCAGTAATGTCTATTTTGCCACAGTGTGCAGTCTCTGAACCTCCTCTCCCTTCAGGGATGACTGCTTATTCTAGCTGGATTTTCTCCAGTCTCTCTGACCTCCCTGATAAGCTTCTGACTGGTCTGTCTCTGCGGGTATTACACCCAGCTGTTAAACCCCAACTGAACCCATTGCTGTGGAGTCAAATTCTGACTCATAGTGACCCTATAGGACAGAGTAGGGTCCCCATAGGGTTTCCAAGGCTGTAAATCTTTACAGAAGCAGACTGCCACATCACCTTTATTTGCAGAGAGGCTGGTGGGTTTGAACTGCTGACATTTCGGTTAACAGCCGAGAGCTTAACCACTGTGCCACTGGTGCTCCTCCACTAATTGCTAGCCTATTGCTCTATTGTTTTTGACAACATCCTGGCGTATATAAATTACTCCACCATCTGATCCAATTGGGCTGCTTTGCAGGGGTAGTCTTTGAGGCCAGTCTTTGACATTTGCTCTGGCTCCAGTAGGGCTCTTCTTAGCTGTCCCTTTTCCTGGTTGTCTCTATTAAACTTTTAGATGGCCTTCTGATTTGCCTGTTGCTATGTGGAGCTACTAGCTTCCTCTTGATTGTTTACCATCAAGGTCTCCATTGTTTTATCAGTGCCCTTAAGCTTGAACTAATTGCTTTAGGGAGAGCTGTGTCTCTCTGTTCTTGCCCCCCAGAGGGGGGACAGAACCTCTGAATGACTGCTCTGGAGCTGGTGGTGGGGACAGCAGTTGCCTTCTCTCAGAGTCACACGCCTGCCCTATAAGCAGGCACTGCAGCCCATGGTCTTCTTGGCTTGCTCCTCCCAGTGCAGAACCTCCACCCTATGACTAAGCTGGGGTAGGGGCGATTGAGGCCCAGTATTCTCTGCTTGTCACAGCTGGGGTACAACTTCCACCCAAGTGGAGGCTGGGTGGAGAAAGGGAGCCCAGACATCTCAGCCATGCTTGCAGAGTAGAACAGGAGCTGAGCTGGGGGCTGAGAAACGCTGGCAGAGAGAAATGCTGGCAGCCTGCCCCTCCTGGGAGAAACCATTGCCTGATGCTGAGAGCTGGGACAAGAGGGAAACCTGTTTTCCTGGCTTCACCCACCTGATCTAGAGCTTTTGTCGTCACACTGAGCTTTGAGGGTGGGGAGAGGGTGCAGGTCATGGCTCAAATGCCCCAGACTTCTACTGAGGTTGAGTAGATTTTTCAATTTCCAGAAATTTTAAATTGTTGTTTTTTATGATTTTCACCATTATGATTATTTCACTGGGGAGAGGGTCTGGGAGATTTTCATACTACCATTTCAGAATTTAACACAGCTGGGCCCTTAGGGGCTGAAATTATGAAGAATATTTCAGACCAGGAGAATAACATACAGTTGTGCTTTTATGTAAGAGCTACTTTGATGAGTAAAACCAGTGGCCTTGAGCCTTCACTATTGGTTTTGGTGTCAAGTGGGTGGACGCATGGTGAAGTGTCCAATTGGATAGATAATCACTTTCCTTTGTTAAGTGGTTTACAAGTAGGTAGTCTTAAGGTTTTAATTATAAAGTGAAAGAGCTGTTTTGATTTTGGGAAAAAAATTATTTATTCCAGTGCCATTTGGGCCAAGGCCTTTCTGGTGCTGTTTCTGCTTCATACAAGAGTG